GGACATGTGCCATATTAACTTAAATAACTATAATTTCCAATTGATTATTCTAGCCTTTGACAGAAGCTAACGACAGATATTTTTGTTCTAGCTGACAATATTTCCTCGATAATGCGTTTTCATATAAAGCCTGGATAAGTCAATTCCCTCGCGCTTTCACCTTGGAATATTTGGAGTCAAAATATGTTCTTCAATACGTTCTTACTAGATATCCACAGATGGTTACAGTAAAGTTTGAGGAGAGTTGACATGATGGGGCGCCATGGAAAAATAATTCATCTTTAAGAGCATATCAATTAAGGTTTTTTACAGTGACGTTTATGGGGTGTTACTCTTACAGTACCAGTAGTAGTTGTCTTTGCAATTTTGATAGTTTTGCATACTTCTGCATCAGCTAAAACCGTGTGCTGGACAGAACTCAACGCTACCTGGCTGAATGCTGCTACACACATGGTTCACGTTTAGTCGGCTTCACTCCCAGATGTTCCGTCTGGTCCGTCTTTCAGTGGAGGATCCACGCAGGGCTAAAACCCATCTGATCAGGTGTGCTGTGTTAAGATGTTACAGCTTAGATATGGTGTAACCTAGGAATTTGACTTTTTTTCATTCCTTTCCTTCAACAAATACAGTTTGAGGTTTGTAAAATCTATTGCAGCCTCTTAAACTTAAATTCTTTTGAAAATTCCTTTTGTTGCACAACTGTTTTCCAGATGTTTCCCTTCCATTGTCCTTTGTAGTATTATTAGACAAGATGTGAACACTGTGTCCCTCCTACAGTAGATAAAATGTCTCCTTTTTTACTTAATCAAATGCAACAAACGTATGGACAAATATAGACACAGTCACAGTGAGACGAGGAGCGTAGTTCTTCATTCTGAATGCAGATCCACCAGATTGAGGAGATTTATAGGGGAGGGTGTATTAAGGGGTATGATGTGAACACCAGAGGCACATGCTGTTAATTCTGCTTTGTGACCGACCCGTAGCCAACGGGAGCATGTGCAGACCTTGAAGACAAATACACATCTTGTGGTCAAACACACATTTACCTCCATCTACACAAGCCTTCATTTTCTCACAAACTCATTTCTTTCTCAGGCCGGATCGGTATAGAAATCATGGGTGTCCACAATTAAAACAAGTGAAATACTGAAATCCGATTGAGGAAGTCTTCAGTATTGTCAACTTTTTTCTTTCTTGCTCATTATTTAAACGTCTTGTTTAACTAAACAATTTAATGAATATCACCTTTTGTATTGCTTCGGTCTCTAATGTACCTTTTTAAATGGAATCCAGAACATCGCTGCCGGCCTGAGGTTCAGCTTTGCTGTTTTGGAAAATGTCTATCTGACATTACACAAAAGATACCAGGTACTTGGCTCTTTTGGTTTTCTCTATTTGTTGCACTATCCTCTCTGGAGTATATTAATACATAGTTGAAACACCATGTTTTCCACAAAATGTTCATGGTATATCATTATCGTTGAGATAAGAGTCACTCTTCCCCTCCTGTAAGCAGTATTAGGATGGTGGTATTGATCAGGGAGTCCATTCGTTTGTTAAAAAAAAAATTGGCGACGACGGGTGGATCGGTTTAATTTGGTATCCCCCAAACTGATTTTCCTTGCACGATATGAAATTACAAATCTATCGATTACGAATTTCAATTTTCAAGCTTTTTAAGACACTTCAAAGCTTTCAAAGGAGAAGGTTAGAACTCAGATGTCTGAGCCCTGGCCGGCCACAACCTGCATTGTGGTCCTCCGTGTCAGAGGCTAAGAGGTAAGATCAGGCACTTACAGCAGGAGATCCAAGCAACCTTCCTGGCGCCTTTTAGTACCTGTGTCTCCTCCGGGATATGTTTTCACATCAGTATTCAGGTCCACTACTTCAGCCCCTTCTCATTTCATTCACCCCTGGATTTATTTTCATACTATGGGGGTATGATAGCCCCTTAATAATTCATATTTAGAGTGTATACCCATGCACTGAGAAATTCTGATTCATCCTCCTCAGTAGCTGTCCACCAACCTGCATCATTTAAGCCTCCCAAGTTTTAGCTGTGGCGTACTCTTAGTCTGCGCGATGCTCTTTGCAGGAGAGCTGTCAGAAGTGTTAACGTAAGAGAGAAGTTTGTGTGGGTGGACAGGACCGTATGTTTACTTTTAGTCAGCATGCTTCTATAAAGAGCAACAAGAGTCAAGAGCATATAACCAGTTGAGTCCAACTTATAAGTGTACTTATAAGTATAAGTATAGGTACTGGCTCTAAACCAGCAGGGTGGCACAAAGTGGCTTACGCACACACACACACAGACACATTATATATAATATATATGTATATATATGTATATATATTTCTTCTGGAATTTGATTGAGTCTTACTGTTCATTTAACTCAGTCAGACTGACTGTCTGACAGAGCTTCATTAAACTGAAAAATAGGTAGCCTGTTTATATCATGTATATTTAGATATAGAGATGGGAACTTCATTATTATTAAAGACTCATCGTGTAATTATTGAAAACTCAGCTATTTGACAAAAAATGCCCAAAACTTCATATATTCTATTTTTATGTTATTAAATTTGAAAAATCTGTGAAACTTGTACTTTACATTCATATTTGAACTGCATAGCCTGATAATGAAGCCTGTGTATGCCCAGGAAAGGATATTTTTGATAATCAATACTTACAAGAGATGGCGCAGTATGGATTTATTATAATTTCCTTCCAACTAATTAGAGGAATAAGTGGAAGAAATCATACATTTTTAAATTTAAAATCCTTTAACTTGGTCACAATATATAAGCCATCGGGGGCATAAGTGGATCAAAATGTGAGAACAGTCGAGGGTTTGTATGACTAAATCCAATATTTTGCCTACAAACAATCATGATGATTTGACTTTTGTTTCACAAACAGTTTCATGAAACAATATACTGCCTTGTACTTGCTATTAGTTTGGTTCTTCAGTACTTATTTTCTTTTTGTATGAGCATTTGCTATGTGTGCTTTGTTTGACTTCATAAATTCAGAAACAACCATTTGACCAGCTGGCCTTTTCATAAGTTACAATTACATGCCTGTTAAATCCCTGCTTGAACAATCAAAACATTGGCTTAAAGAATAGCTGCACTGTATATACTACAGGCTTACAGCTATTCTTTTCACTCTCAGAGAGAAAGAAAGAACTTTTAGGGCTTTTCCCTTTTACGCTATTTTCTTTTTCAAGTCCCATTTGTCAGAGAGAAAGGAGATAAATATAGTTTATGACCAACCAAAATAAATGGGTGGGTTCAGAAATGCACTTGAACAACAAGCCACAGAGGAAGATGTGGTCCACAAAGGCCAGATACAAACAGCCTTTGCCACGGAAATAGATACTTGCATTGGGAAAGAAAATAGTTGTAATGTAAGATGGTAATGTTTTTAAGTGTAATTAAATCCTCTCATACAAGCCTTCCAGATGTCGATTGTAGTCTTAATTGCGGCCTGTTTGTTTATAGAGAACATTGTGCCTACATATGTGCACTTATCACCATCAGTGTTTTCTAACTATCAAAGTCACAATCTCATTACCCTGCCACCTCACCCATCATCGTCTGAAGTGATTTACAAGAAAACGTGGCAGATGAAGTGCTGGATCCCACAAAATTGGTGCCAGGCCTGTTGGGGTTTTTTAGTACCCCGGCATGCCGGCACTGTTACAGAGTTACCATCAGAAACCAGTGATACACTGCTGCAATTATTGATACCAAGGAAAGGGTTTTCAAGCTCCAAGCATTCCACATTTTATACTGTCATTTCCTTTTGGAGGTGGATGTGAACAGAGCATTCCTATTTGACTGAATATGTCCATTTAATACAACTTGAACATGATTTGCCTGGCCTACATATCTGTTACCTCGTGCCAGCCAGGAAAAACATATTTAAGGTACTTAAAATATATATCCATGTTTTAAGCCATCAGTCTTTCAAAATTACTTGTCGGCAGAAAATGGTGCAGTGTGGGGTTTATTTTGCTGAACACGTCTTTTCAGGCTTTGTACATTAGCCCTGAGTGTACAGAATAGAGCTATCAGCAGACTAAAACAGTGACATCATGTTTAACACATAATTTACCATTATGGGAAAAACAGAAAAGTAAGGGCGAGGTCAAAACACCCACAATAAGAGGCTTGTGAACTTACTGTAGCCTGAAAACACAGTTTAGAATAGAACAAATTGACACTTTAAAAGCTCTCTCCATCCACAGTTACGCTACTCTTCAGTATAACAACACTTAGTCTGAAAGAGGGGGGGAGCAGGAAGAGAAGAGGATGGGAGGTCTCCCAGGAGAGCGCTGCCCGGAGGAGGCACGATTAGGAGGTGAAGCAGTCAAACGTTCACACCAACAGTGCTGGCACGTCCCGATAACCTCAGGCTGTTCTAGGGCAAGAGTACTGAGAGGTAGACTGCTTATGGCTGACATCAGCTGGATTGTTCATCATCTCCTATAACCAGGCTTGTGACGAGCCCTCTACCCTCCTTCTGCTCATTTGGAGACAGCGCACATCCACAAATCCGTGCATTGACACATGCACACACACAGCACGTAATTTGGTAAAACTTTCAATTGTATAGGTTTCAAAAAACTAGGGAGGGGGGAAAACAACTTCATCACCAACTAATGCACACACAGCCACAGACACACATGCACACATCAGTAAAACAATAATATACAGGTATAGCCCGGGCACAAAATTAATTTAGACTTCAGGATAGTTTTTTAAGTATAGTAATATATAGATGAGTGGATAAAATGTATTTTAATGAGAGAGTTACATACTAGAGCTCAAAGGTTGCATTTCATGCAAATTAGTAGTTCGTTTGTTTGTTTGAAGTACAAGATTCAGCACGTGTGTTATCAGTGTGTATTAACAGTCTTAACTTGTAGCAGTTTGTTTAATTGGCTTATCCTGATCCCAACAGCCAATCCATCTCCATTCTCAGGTGGAGGGGCGGGGCTTATGCGGTCAGATTCAGTGGATCGGAGAAAGGAGTGTTGGGTGAAAAGGTAATAGTGTAGAAGAGCAAAAATGTTCATAACTTAAGGGCTGACGACCAGTTAGCTTATGGTTTGGACTGTTGTGGCCTACAAGAGACAAGTATGAGTTGTTTGTGTATTGTTTGCTATACTGTGACTTATTGTTGTAGTGTAAAACTAGGTGTGATGCTACTCGCGAGTAGCCGTTAGCATTAGCATACTACCCGTTAGCTTTGACTTCACACTGTTACCTGTGTCTTTTGAATCCAGTTATTGAGACGAGTTGTTGCTAACGTCAGATCACCCTGAAGTAAGATGTGGACTTGTTGTTTATCTGATTCAGGAGATGGACCTTTGTGACCGTAAGAAAGCATCGGAAAGCGCCTTTGGACCGCAAAGGAACGGATTCCCGCGTCGGCGCGTGCTTCTGTACGCGGTTGCTGCTGTTTCTTCTTCCGCGCTCTGCCTGCCGTCCATCGCTCAGCTTCCCCTGTTTTCCCCTCTGAATTACGCTTGTATTTGTGAGTACTGACTAACTTCCACGTGCCTTTTTTTGTTTTCTTAAATGTCTTTGAAGGCCCTTTACTGTACAAGAATGTTATGGCGTCCTTATACCCAGGGCCCATAGTACTATTACACCCACCACATTCACCCAATTACTGTATAGCTACATGTGAAGGGTTTTACACAGTTATAAAAAATGCCATTTGCAAACAAGGTGTAAAGATCACAAGGTTGTGCCTGAGGTATAAAAACTTAAAGAAAAGAAATTGACAAAAAAAAGGAGGCGACAACGTGTCCACCAGAACGAATCCTATTACAAAAAAAGAGTAGAAAGAGACAGACACAGTGCGACACGGAAAGAGAAAGAAATTAAGTTAATTTCATTATATCAAAATCTTATTTTCAGTAAAAAAAAGAAACTGGAAAGGTGAGTTAACAAGAACAAGTAATATTTAGATTTTATTAGTTTTAATGAAATTAATTTAAATGGAATTGGAAAAAGTTCGGGAACCATTGTAAGTGTGCACCACATCACCACCATCAGATGAGTAAATCCAGACCAAACCACCTCACTTTATCCATTTGTGTTTCGAGCACACCTGCTCGCACGCACACAGCCCTGCTCAGTGTGCTGTGCGTAGACTGGAGTGGAAGAGGCACCTGGTCGCCTGCGGTGGTTATCTTTCATTTCAGTCAGCAGCTTGTGTTGGCTGACAAGATGGCCGTCACTATCAAAACACCATCGGTGTTCCTGCTGCTGAAAGGCGCTTTTGTTTTTACATTCTTCTGTTGTGTGAACACTGTTATGGTTTCCTCCGGCTGATAATTACAGCAGCAACGTGGACGTTTTCCTTTGCATTCTCACACAAACGCCTGCCGGGCCTGTAACCTGCGTCTGTGTGAGTGCACGTTTTTAGACCTTGACTTTAATAGTACCTGACACGGATACTTTAGCACAAAGAGGCTATAATCCGCCAACATTTTTGACTCAGGAGAGGGAGAACAATTGTCTTGGCACGAATGGAAAGGAGAAGGTTTTTGTTTTCCCAGAGATAATTTGAAGCAGGTAAGAAAAAAGAGCATCATAATATGATTGCCAGGTGAATTGAACGAGCCCCATGGGCCGGGGGGCCCTCTTTGTTTTTACAGCAGCGGTGGCTGGGACCGTTTGATGGATCCTAATTGGACACATATTTATTGTGCTAGGTTCAGCTGGAGTGTGACGGGTATGATGATGCCACAATTAGAACCATTAACAGGATTGTTGTGCTGGCCGCCCTGAAAAGTTTTTTTTTTTTTTTTTTTTGTGAATGAGGAGTTTATTTCTCCCTGCCACTGTGATCCCGCTTGCAAAGCACAAGTGCCCGGTGGCCATGTGGAGAAATCGGCTCACGCTTGGACGGAAAAGGATGATGGAGACTTGATATGTCAGTTGTCGCCCGATGCAGAAACAATCCTTTTAGACGATGAAATAAAAATGCCAAGTTATGTGAGACAGACCGCAGGGTGAGGAAACTGCTCTTTGAGATGTCTCACCCGGTGACTGACAACAAAGTTATCGCCACTAATGTCTTCAGGGCAAAATGTGAGCAGTCACGGGAAGCATTCAAGACTGTCAGAGGCAGAAGAGAACTTATAGCTTGTTTAGGGCTTAGCAGAGTGTTGTGACCGTAGAGGCCTGTGTAGCAGCTGATAGGTTTGAGTGTGTCTAACCCTGTGATCTGTGTGCTAACATTGGCCTACTGGGGTAAGATCAGTTCCTCAACTCTCTGCCTTTGTCCCCTGTGAAGGGAGGCTTACCCAAGGACCCCCTGTTTACTCTGGCCTGTACAATGCCGATGTCTAAACTCCCTTTGTCGGGTGGATTTAGGCTAGATTTACTTCAATTTGATCTGGGAGGGCCCCTTTTCATCAATCTGGAGGTCTAATGCCCTTAACTGGCTTAACCTGGCTCCCCCTGTGAGCCCGGGACCCTCATGCCCACAATCTCTCGCCTCTTTGCCACTGCTACTGATCCCCGGCTCTTCGCCTCATCCTCAAGTCCCCTGAGAATCCTCAGCATCCCTGGGTTGGGGACACCTGGAAGTCATGTTTAACATGTCATGAGCATGCCATGACTCCGCATAGAAAATCAGCGAGGCACCCATTCTGGGTGTGAACAATGCATGCGTGAGGAGTGGACCTTCTAAGATGGGACAGGTAGATTGTTTGGACATAGAAGTGCCAGAATGCAGAGTTTAATATCCACCGTGATGGCTTTTGCTCATGAATAGAGATGAGATGCCGGTATGTTCTTTTTACCCCAGGACTCACGACATCTGAGGGGAGAGTGCTCTCTCTCTCTCTAAAAGCGGAAGCTATACTCTTTCAGAAAACACGCTTTCTAGACAGTTAGAAAGTGATAAAAGTGTGTATTTTAGTATGGCTTTTACCACAACTGTCAAGTATCATCCTGCACTCTGTAAGGTGCTGAAAATCATCTGTTGATTTTTCCACACAAGATAGTTTTCTTCACCAACCGTATGATCCAAGTTTGTAGTTATCCAGATACGTGGTCCTTTTGAGAACTTTACACTGGCCGTCCTTCCAGATATGCCGCTAGTCTACAGTCCTCATGATTTGACACAGCCAGGGGTGAGCTAACCACAAAATGGTCTCCCGTTGTTGCCCTGTGCAATTTAAAACCTACCTTCCCAAATTTTGTATTCATGAGACGAAAAAATATTCTTTTCAAAAAGTTGTTTTGAATTGCAAATTTCCCCAAATCAGCACCTAGCAGAACACATTGGTGGAAAGTAAATGCAGGGACAGTATGGCGCTTATCCCCACCCCTGTAAGCTTCCCCACACTGACACGCTGGCTGCCAGACTGTACTCTGACATGTGTGCCCAAATTGTCATGGCATAATTATGTAACCTAGACCATCCAGATTATTTAAATGCCTCCGAAAAGTGTCATCTCCAGTGCCCGTGAGGCTCTTGAGACCTGTCACCTACTGAATCCGGAATGGTTACATTTTGAGGATGGGTCTTTCTTTCTCTCTCTCTCTCCCCCCGAGCTCGGCCTAATCCAGAGGCACAGCGTCACCGCAGCATCAGTGTTACCTTTGATGGGCCCGGATTAAAAGCAAATCTACATTCCTTTGGTGGATTTCAAACGCTGCCTGAACAATGACGCCAGCCAGAGGCGAGTTAATGAGGTCTGCGGTGGACTGGCAACGAGTGACTTTAACATCAACCTGATTAGGTGCACAGATATTATCTCTGCACCTCCCTCCTCCTTTGGCTCCTCGGCTCTCACTGTGCCTCTGTCTCTGTCATCTATCCCGCCACCTCACCTCGGCCACTTTCCTCCTTTCAATTTTCTCCCGTCTCCTCACTTTTGCTTGGTTTCTACTCCTCTTCCTCTCCCTCTCTCCCCTTTTCTCCCGCTCCCTGGTGAGTGAGGCCTAACTTAATTAGTGGGCTGGAGTGTGAATGTGCCTTTCACAGGGTGTTAATGAAAAGCTTTGCGCGCTTTCCCTTTCAGTGTGTTAGTGACTGACTGCACCCCTCCTCCCCCTCCTCCCCCCCTCCACACACACCTCCCACCCTTTTGCCTGCTTTCTCCTCTCCTCCCTCCACTTCTCCTCAGCTCTCCTGACCGGTGGGAGGTGTTATTACAGGGGCTGTTGACTCTCCGGCTTTAGGTTCTGGGTCTCAGTTGTACTGAGCTCATAGCTTAATTAAACATGCAAATCTGATCTATCGAACACGTCTTAACAACCTCTCTCACTGTAGCTGTTATGTCGTGTCACATGGTCTTTCTTTCAGTTTGAGATCCTCTTTTTTTGTAATCTAATTATACAATAGCCAATGATGTGAACATGGCCGAGGTGAATTCAATTTAACATATGACTGATTGATTTTTGGTGAAACAGTGTTTGTGCAGTAGTGCTGGTTCACACATCCAGATCAATCATTGATCATTTATACTATGAATATTGCTCAAAATTCAACTGTTGCTCTCAAATCTACTGTCGACAGAGATGTGCTTGCTTAGTCAATTCATCAAAATCTGCCCGTCGTATGTGACTAATACTTTTGGATTTGGATGGAGCTCCAGACAGCAGTGCATTTTGACTTTGCTGAAAAAGTAATAGCGTACATATTTATTCCTAGTTTATGTCACTGACATTCTCATACTATGGGTGCCTAAAGTCCATCACCACACACTGGCACAATAGTAAAATAAGCTAACATATTCATCTGTCACCTGTAATATCTATCAGCACTGCTTTTACTACACGCTTGGGTAATGGCCGAAATACAAAGTGAAGATGAATTAGAGACAACTTCCACCTATTTCTGTCAGGCAAACTATATATTACATTAGCAGTCGATAGTAGCTCACGTAAACATATCTACAGAGAGCACATTCTGTTTAAAAGTAAAATATTCCTAGTCTTACACTTGTGTGTGGCTCATATTGCACTACTTTGCTTCTTATTATTTCAGTTAACAATAGTGTGGCTATTCTTTTTTTGTTTTATGTAATTTCATGTAAGTGTATAAACAAATCTCCGTCCCCGGGCCTCCCAAACCAAACCAAAAGTTAAACGCATCATTGGTTGAAATGTGTTGATGATTGTAATATTCATAGAGTTTGTGTTGCATTTTACATTTAGCTGTTTCCACTGTCATGTACCAGTCAGTCATTGGCGTTTGATGAAGCTGTCTCTCTCACAGACGGACTTATGGCAGCTCCCAGCCAGCGAGACAGCTAATCCTGTGTTGCAGGGATGTATAATGATATCCCTGGGCGCTATAGGATGTTTCCCTCTGTATGGTGCCAGCTTCCTGGCCCTCTGGCACAACTCTTTATGGACCCTGGCCCAGCCCCAGCACCCCGACGCCAGCCGTAGCCTTTAGTGGAAGGACAGGTTTTGTAAGGCTTCGCCTTGTCACTTCCAACCAAGAGAAATACAAAGCAATGACAAAAAGAGCAATTTCTTGGCCATTGCTTGTCATCAAGCTAA